ATTTTTAAAAGACCAATTAATAAGGATTTAGATCAAATTACTCTAAGGAAATCATAAATCACACCAATAAAATCTGAACTTAAGAATACATGTGACGAATGTTTAAAAGAACCTCAAACTAACTGGTATATGATAGGGTGCTTTAATAAATAATAGTAGTTAATTTTGGTGTGACTTGAAAAGATGCTATTAGCTCTGCACCACAGTTGAGCTTGGTATATATTTGCAGAGAGAAATTGATCCGAGGGAGCCATTCCAACCAACACTCCCACTCAAGGTGTGAGGAGTATGCTTTAGCTGGAGAGGAGTGCTATTGATGCCACTGACATTACTGGATCTCAACCACATTGGGGGATTAAGGGCAGCAGGTGCTTATGAAAGATGAGAGCCAGGCATCTTTATGAACCACTGTCACTTCTCATTACCATGTATGTAGACATGGCATGCAAGCAGACATTAGGCATTCCTTGAGCACCTCCCTAGTGTCAGACCCTGTTTCACACATCAGGGATACAGTTGTAAACAAGACAGCTTGAGACCCTGCAAGAATGGAGCTTATATATAGTAGAGATAGTCAAATAACATGTGAACAGTAAGCCAATAAGATAACTTCAGTTCCAAATAAATTTGTGAGGAAGGAATACTCAGCTAAGGTGGGTAGGTGGTAACTAGAAGAGTTGCTTTATTTATTTAGGGTGGTTAGGGTAGATCTCTCAGAAGAGATGACATTTGAGTTATGATCTGAATTACTAAAAGGAGAAAATCTTTTCCAAAAAAAAGTTTTATCAAGCAGAAGGAACAAGAAGTGCAAAGGCTCTGTGGATTGATCCAAGCTGGTGTGTGTGAGGCTCAGAAAGGTGACCAATGTTTAAGGAGTAAAATGAACAAAAAGAACAAAAGTGGGTGAAGTTAAATTTATCCTTGATGGGTCTGTTCTACAGCCAGCTGTAGCTACATCAGCAAGTCAGTCAAATATGCAAGTAGCGATGTCAATCAGGAGTCCAAACCTAAGACATGAAACGGCCATCTGTGAGTGTACTGAATTTTAAGCCAATGGAAACTCAATGAGAGGGTAACTAAAGAAGAGAGGATGATTGAGCACAGAGCACCCCCACACTTAGAAATGTAGAAAAGGAAGAGGAACTAAATGAGAGACTGAGAAATGACACACAGTGAGGTAGGAGAAAGACCAGGTAGGTCTGCATGATTGTCTAGGGAGGGTGTGGCCGATCAATAGTATCTGATACAAGGGAGGTGCTTAAGGAATACCTGACGTGTGATTGCATGCCCTGTCTACATAAATGAATTTGTAAGATGTGGGTTACTGGCGATCTTGCTAGGTGGGTTAAAGATGAAGTAAAACAATATGTTGTAGCATTCTATGGTGAAAGGAAGCAGATAAATGACATAGTACCTGGAAAAGTGGGATAAGAGAGAGGTTTTGGGTTGTGTTTGTGTGTGTATGCTTGTTTTTAAGTATGAGAAGGATAGGAAAAGCATCTTATTGATGGGAAGATGACCACAGAGATGGAGAAGTTGACAATGTAAAAGGGAGAGGAGATAATAGCAGGAGCTGAGTTCTTGAGAAGACAAGAGAAGCTCTGAATGATGTGAGGGAGTCAGCACCCACATGCAAGTGTTGGCCTTAGAGAAAAGCAAGGATGCTTCTGCCATTGCAGAAGGGGAGAGAGTAAAGTGGCTAGAACAGATTCCGAAGGTTGGTAGAGTGGCAGTCAGAGATGAAGTAGTACTCATCACATCTATTTCCTCTATGAAATATGGGGGATGGCTGGAAGTGAAGGGGGTTTGAAGAATGAGGAAAGGACAAGAAAGCAAATTTGCTAGGGAAGTTTATGAGACCATCTGGCACTATTGAGGGTCCATTCAAGATTCTTGGTAACAAATTTGAAGTATGTCCCATCAGCAAAATTGGGTGATTTTCTCTGGGATTGTTCAACTGGCCAGATCCAGGTGCAACTCGATTTCCTTATTCATGTTGAAGGTATGGTTGAAATGCTGAGAGCAAAGCATATAAAGGAAGTGATTGCAGAGGAGGTCATATATTGTAAGCTGCTAAGTAGGAAACTGAAGATAAGAGAGGGTGATGGATAGTGGAAACGTGATGGGGTCTGTGGATGTGAAGGTCTGTACGGAATGGAGTACTAGAATAAGTGAGCCAAGAGACACAAGGGGATGGTTAACTGGAATACCCACAATAGCTATTTTGGAGGTGATGCAGCTGTTGGTGGTTAAATGCAGCATATGACCACACCAGTGTATGGCTGACGTGGACTGGAGAAAGAGCCTTGGAGTGAAGGAGGTCAAGGATATAAGAGTCCAGAGCCTCGGAAACATCACTACATGAATGTTCAAGCTGCAAAGAAAGCCAGGATCAATAGTGGAGAAAAGATGATGGGCCATGGAATGTAATCATCAGTGACCAAGAGCAGTGATGAGGATAGGAATGATAGGAAGTGTTTGGGCCTAGCACGGTGGATCATGCCTGTAATCACAGCAATTTAGGAGGCCGAGGCAGGTGGATCACTTGAGGACAAGAGTTCAAGACCAGCCTGGCCAACCTGGTGAAACCCCATCTCTACTAAAGATACAAAAATTAGCCAGGTGTGGTGGTGCACACACATAATCCCAGCTACTCAGGAAGCTGAGGCACAAGAATTGCCTAAACCTGGGAGGAGAGGTTACAGGTTACAGGAGAGACTCCATCTCAACACACACACACACACACACACACACACGCGTGCGCGCGCGCGCGCGCGCGCACACAGTAAGTGTCTGGGAAACTTGAACTTTTGATAGTAATCAGGGGATCTTAGATATTAGGAGAGGTGAGACTGCTCCGGGAAATCTCTCCAGAGGATGGTTGTTAATCCAATAGAGTCCAGAGCATTTAGTTGGAGCCAGTGTGCAAGTGTTCAGTTCTCCAGCTACTGAGCAGTTGGGTAAACAGGGATTTTTTATCTGAGGGAGCTTCCTGAGCTAGGATTCTTCAAGGGAGGAACTGGATGGCAATTCTCCTTAAGCCAGTAGACACCACATCTTCTGGGGATATACGGCAAGTGGTAATCTCTGGGCATATGATCTTTCTAGAGTCAGTAGGGTTATTATTGACTATGTATGTAGACTGAATCCAGTATATAGATACATGCCCAGAAGCAGTTCTCAGCTCCCAAATGATTTTAGAAATCTATGTATTGAACTCAGAATGTATTTTCCTGTGAAAATTGTGTTTAACAACAGAGGGTGTCATTTTCAGGGAAAATGGTGTCATTTCAGGTTGTCATTTTCAGCCATATTTTGGCTTCAGATAAAGCCATATGGAAAAACTTTACCCAATCCCCTGGCTCTGACCAGCAAGGTCATGGGCAATGACAGTCCTTTAAAAACTAGCGGTGCCACTAAAGGCTCCTGAGGAACTGGCTATTCTAGACAGTGGCACAAAAGCCGAACTTAGGTTTTTGTAAAAAATAAACGATCACTGCTTTCAACTCTGTTAGATCTTTGAGAAGAAAATAAAGGTGCTGACTTTTTGATAAGGTTTTGTTTCTGTTTCAGTTACACTTTTGGGAGAATACGGTTGTTTTTCATTTTGTTGGTTTGTAAATCTTGAAAATTGTGAAAAATGTAGATTATAAAAATAAAAAATTAGCAATACAGATTGTAAAAAGAAAAAAATAGCGATCATGAATAGCGTCAACACCCAGGATTAAGCATTGTTAACATGTAGCATATTTCCTTCTAGTCTTTTTTCCAATGTACTATTTCTTAAGTGGTTAAATTATATTCTATGAATAGTCTTGATAAAATAAATTTGTAATCTGTCCTAAGATTAAGCACGGAAACAAGATCTTTTTATTCTAAAGTTAACTATGAAGATTATCAGACTCAGGGTTATTTCTCTAGCAGAAATATCAAATGGTGAAATTCTCTCTGGAAAATTCAAAACCATCAATATCTAAAAATACAAATAAAAATATTTTTTAAATTTAAAAATTTGTAAGCGTAAGATAAACATGTATTATAACTTTCCACTTCCTATACAACTGCATTGTAGGGGCGTAGCTCTTCTAAAATAGGATTAAAAAGAAGGTATTAACATTAAACACAACTTGCATTACAGTTCCCTCTCCTTATCAGTAAGCAAGAGCCAGGAAGAACTGGGGCAAGAGCTATTTTTATGTTATATGTTCTTTATTTCTGGGATTTGCAAGAGAAATGGTGGCAAACGGTTTCCTAACTGCTGTTCTTAACTCTGGTTTATTTGGGACGTGTTATTAAAAAGCAACAATGTTTCTGGTTATTTTTCATTAAGGTTTTACTAGACAATGTCAAATTCAGGATTCTATTGAGTTTGAAGATAGTATCTTTTTTGTGTGGTAATGAAAGCAGTTTGCTACTGAGAACAGTGTTTCAAGCAGGTGAAGATGTAATCCATCCTGTCTTTAATGACAACTATAATTCCTGGAGAACCACTGAGTTATCTGAAAGGCATAAAGCATTCAGACTTAAAGGTTTCTGAGATCTCTCACATTTCTTGTGGCAGATGTACCATTCATCTTGGGGGAAGGGAAGAATCGCTTAAACCCTAAGGCTTGATTTTCACAATCCTGGAACAATTCACAATTCACAAAGTACTCAGTGGTCAAGTCTAGCTGATTGTATTGGAGAAGGTGGGATGGAACTGAAAACTGGGCTATTTATTCAACTTTGAGAGATAGTATACAGTGCTGTGCAGGCGACAACACGATCTCCATGACATCATGGACTGCACGTGGGTATGGAGATGCCCCAGCCAAGCACAGCCATTTCGTGCCTGCTCACAGGCTGGGCTGATAACAATGCATGCGGCTCTGCTGGCCCTGCCTGCTGACAACCTCTGGGAAAAATAACAGGCTGGGATCTCCCTGGGGAACCCCAGAAGAATTGAGTCAAAGGTTAGTGCGGTGAAACAGTAGGTTTCTGAGGCAGTGTTTATTTTAGAATTGGTCTTCCTTCTAAAAACTGCCCCTGTGATCTTTGTATTCCTTCAGTGGTTATTGAATGCTCCTGGTTTCCGCTTTCCCCAGAACAAGCAACAGCAGATGCAGGGAACAGAATGAAAGGCAGGCTTGTCATCTTCTGCCTCAGCTGCTAATCTGGGGGCAGTGGACCAAAGGTCTTAATCATATCTAGCACCTTCAAAATGCAGTAATTCCCTCAGATGAGAGCAGGTTGTTTCCCAACAAAAATCAAGCAACAAAATTAACGACAAAAAGATTACATGGCAGGAAATCCTATAGGCAGTAAATAGTATGAGAATCTAAAGACCAGTGAGTGTTAGGCAGGCGTAATCAAGGAAAGTTTCACAAAGGGGCTTATAATTAAAATAAGTAATGAAAGGATATTCTATTCCTGGTTTATTATAGCACATATTATAAGAGTTACAGAGAACTAGTGGACTAAAGAAATAGTAGATTTAAGAGTCAGGGTTCCTCTAGGCGGCGTGGCTCATGCCTGTAATCCCAGCAGTTTGGGAGGCTAAGGCAGGTAGATTGCTTCAGCTCAGGAATTTGAGACCAGTCTGGGCAAAGTGGCGAAACCCCGTCTCTAATAAAAACAAAATTTTGCCAGGTGTGGTGGAGTGCCTGTAGCGCCAGCTATTTGGGTCTGAGGTGGGAGGATGGCTTGAGCCAGGGAGGTGGAGGATGCAGTAGCTGAGATCACACTCCTGCACTCCAGCCAGGGTGACAGAGTGAGATCCTGTCTCAAAAAAAAAACAAAAGAAAAAATCCATACCTCCTATTTTTCATTTGTTTCTTTACATTCTTTTTTTCTCTCTCTCCATCTCTTTTAACCGTTTTTCCCTCCTCTGCTAAGAGAGTCTAGTTTCATTTACTCACACTAAATGCAAGTATAATTTAACTGTATTGTTCACATATATATAGCATAACATAGTACTTACCATCCCTGAATCTTAAAATTCAAGTTTCTAAGTAGAAATAGAAAAGTAAATGGCTCAACACTTACATCTTCTACTTGCTAGGAATCCTGCCCTCTGTTCTTTCGGGAATGAAAGCAAGAAGAGGAGAAACACATGTTAGAAGAGTTGAAGGAGCAGTTCAAAGATAGTGGAGACATTCTGAGGAACCTCATAGGAAGTTCTCACCTGTGCTCTCAGGGCCCATGATATTACCAGTATATGCCAGACACCATAGTTTCCTTGGATCTGGTATCATACTTACACAGCTGCCAGCTAGTTTGAACTTCTAAGTGCTGCAGTGACTGAAATTAGATTATGCATTTGTCTAAATGAGAGCTCCCTCTTCAGCCAGTTCCATAGTGTCTTCAAGCTAGCTTCTATGTTTATGTGCGTGAGTGAATGAACTCCAAAGGCAAACATTCAGCAAGGACTTTATTATCACAGGTGAGAAAGGGATTTTGTTTAGTTTTTCAATTTGCTATTATTTATTTATTTATTTACTTACTTACTTATTTAGAGAAGGAGTCTTGTTCTGTCGCCCAGGCTAGATTGAGTACAGTGGCATGATCACAGCTCACTGCACCCTCTGCCTCCTGGGCTCAAGCGATTCCTGTGCCTCAGACTCTTGCATAGGCATAGCTAGAATTACAAGCACCTGCCACCCTGCCCAGCTAATTTTTTGGCATTTTTAGAAGAGACAGTGTTTCGCCATATTGGCCAGGCTGGTCTCTAACTCCCGACTTCAGGTGCCTGCCCGTGTCAGCCTCCCAAAGAGCTGGGATTACAAGTATGAGCCACTACATGCCAGCCTTGCTATTTATTTAATACAGAATTCAAATGAACATGAGATTAATTTTCATTGTACACTTATGCTTTACATTTATAGTGGTATTTTTTTCATTTCTAATGCATTTCTGGATCTTTTTAATGCATTATTATCTGAGCTACTTGTTTTATAATCCTTATTAGAAAGAAATTTTAACAGGGAGGTATACATTTACATTCTTGCTGAACTGTTCTCTCAGACCACGAGGACTAAGCAGTGGTCCCCTGGCCACCTGTGGCTGCCCAGTCCCCGTTAAATTCCCTGTGACTTGCCTTGATTGTTCCAGACTCTGAATTGTAAGTAGCTGCACCTTTACCTTATCCTGTCATACAGTTTCCCAATATGGTTCAAAATAGAACTTAACACCTTAACGTGGTCTGTAGTTTGTGTGTTTTAGTAAAAGAACCTGGACTAAAAAATGCAAAGGAGTAGCCTTTTATTTTTCTTCTTCAAATAGGAAACTTCCCAAATGCTTCTGCCCTGGAATGGAGCAGTCTGTGATAGTACTGAATTGAATAATTCTAGACTTGGCAGTTCTATGTCAAAGCAAGTCTCATAAACACAGCAGATGTACTTTCTGGGTGACTGCCATTAGCATGCATCTGAGGGGTTATTGACTGGTTATGGGCAGATGTCGGGGTGGAGGACAGTGAAGGAAGGGGAACCAGGACTTTTCCCCTCATTGTTTTATTTTCTGAGTGATTGCCCCAAAAGAAAAACTTTCCCAGTCTGAATCTCTAAGTAGATCTTTTCTGTTCAAATGTTTGTGGTCCTATTAACTATTGGAAGTAAAACATTCTCAGTCTGAATCTCTAAAAGGATCTTTTCTATTTAAATGTTTGTGGTCATAGTAACTATTGAAAGCATTGGATTGGGAGTTTTTCACTGAACTGAAAGAAGTAAGCCTTAAATTACAATTGTTTCTTTTTAAAAAATGAGAAAATATATGTTCTCTGAATGGTATTGTCTGCTTTTATAAAAGTCAACTTAGGAGATTTTTTTCTCTATGAAACCGATAAAACAGTTTCAAGTAATTGGAGCTAAATTATTCTTCCGGGAACACAGCCAGGTCAGTGGCCCTGGGAAGTATTGAAGGGAACAGGGAGCTCCAGGGTGGGCAGCAGCACCGTTACCTTTGTTCACCTGGTGAGCCAGAGGTTGTGAGACCCTGTGGAACCCAGCTCAGCTTTCCTGGGATCCTTTTCCTTCTTGATGGCTGACCTAAAAAACCCGTTCACACTATGGTGTTTCCCCTCTCCCTGTACCAGCAACCTTCAGTTGCTTTTATCTTGTCAACAGTTACATTTGCAGACGTCTACCTGCTTCTTTTCTTTATAGATTAGAGCTGAGGTTTAAGAGACTCTCCTGGTTAGATTTTTGAGTCTCTTTCCTGGGGAAAGAGGACTGAGAGGATTGGCCTGAACAGGCTAAGGGACTGCCTTCATTACTATGAGACAAACTTGGAATCGCTTCTCTAAATCACTTTTTATCTGTCCTGTCTGCCCTTATTTGTAACATGCCAAGAGTTAGAAGACCCCATATTGTTTGTGCAGGGTGTTGTGAGGAGCTTTCCGTGACCTAAAGTTTTTCAACCACATTTATTTAAAGCCATAGCTCTTTCCTCTGTTCCTTTAAGCTATCTCATTCCTAATTCATTCCCTCCCCCACACCCTCCACTGCTAATATACAAGTGGTCTCCTTAAAGCCAGAACCTTTAGCTACCATCTATGCTCAATAATTAGCTAGCCTACATTTATTGGCTGTGTACCATGTATTCTACTACGCATATTATAGATAATCTGCATACATTGTCTTATCTCTCCTCCTAGATTTTAAGTTTCTTAAAATCAGGGACAAAGCATTATCTGTGTTTGCCTCTCCTTAGTGTAGTGCCTTGCACTTAGTAAGTGCCGAATAAATGAGGCCATCACTATGATTGTCACTTGACTTGAAAAATATAAGAAATGGATATGTTAGCTATTAAGTGTGTAGTCTCACCATTGTATCCTATTCCATTCATTTCTAGAAAATGCTTATTAACTAGACAGGGCCCTTGCTTTATTTTCTTTCCCTGCTATTTTCTTGTCTTTCTGTTCCAAGTCTCCACTCACTTCTAAAAAAATATGACTTGTCCAGAGACTCATGTTGCTCTGAATTTTCTTATTCTTCCATGAATATCTGTGCCTATTAGAAGGGAGAACAGAGGGTGGGAGTCTCTATTTCTACCCTCATTTCAACTTTTGTTCCAATGATTGCTACTATTTTTACATCCTCTCCTCTGTTTCTTTGTGCTTAGAAAGAATTAGGGTTCATGTGGGTTTTTTGCAGATAAATAGAGTTATTTGTATCCAAAGAATTTGAGTTATTTTGAGTCTCTCTTTATGAAGAGCAAAGCTTACAAATCAAGAGTAAGGATTAAGATTTTCATACGTTTTGGAGTTTTTTATGTTAAAAAAGTGATTCTAGATGCACTGAATATTTCATCGATTTGTTTACTGAGCAGGTATCTTCCTTAGCATCAAACAATTATCCTTAACTAATCTTTGCTTATTATTTTCATGAGAACTAAAATTTCTATTTCCTTCAGTTTTGAATTGCCTGCCAGAGCTATAACACATGAGGTTTTTGTACTCTTTCTCTAGTAGTTGATGAAATCCAGAATTCAAGCTGTCTGCCTAGACATCTTGCAGATAAAGATTTCTGATTTCTCTGGTTGAATTCATGAGATCACAAGTTGAATGAAAGGTTAAGTTCAAGTAGCAAGTGAAAAGCAAAGTGCAACACTAAACAGTTTGTACCAAAAATGTCCTGCATTTCCCTCTTTAAAGCAGCTGTTGCTCAACCAAGTTGTGGTGGTACTGATGCTTTTCCCTCTCTGTGTTTCTCATGAGCCCATCTTGTTACCGCTTACTCAGCCTTGGAGCAAGGCATCTTAAAGTACAGTTCATGCTGGAGAGGCTAAAATGGCAATAGAGAGTTTATAAATATGTGTTAGAGACATATACATTGTATGAAGATGTACACATTGCTATAGCATCCCTTCTGTCTTTTGATGTTATAGTGTAAGATCTTTGAGCAGATAATGGATATACCCCCTTCATTCAATGTACAATTATAGAGACCCTATTGTGTGCATGTCACTTACTGTATCAGGCAATGTGGGCCTATAAGGACTGGATGAGACTACTAGAAATTGATTTTTGTGTGGCTTGTGAAATCACATTTTATTTTAAAGGTACCCCTTCTATAAAATAGAGATTCAGTTTCTCATGTGTATAAAAACCACCACCACTGCTACTATTAGCACCTACCAAATACAGGGCTTTACTCTATGCCAGACACTAGAAGGAATCTCTCAGCCCTCTGAAGTGGGTAATGTATTGGTATTTAGCAGCTGGGAAGCCTGAGGCAAGTAGAAGTTAAATTACCTGTTTTGAGTTAGATAGCTGGTTTGTTTCAGAGCTAAAGTTTGAACCCAAGTCTATCTTATTCTAAATCTGCATCCTTAGTCACTATCTGCTACTGTCTCCTGGAGGTCTTCAAATGCCAATGCTTCCAGAGACAGCCAGTTATTAGTTTTTTGGCTGAAGTTTTCTTTCATATGACAGATAAGACATACACATGAATAATTAAAACCCTACACCCCAGATTTCTGTGCCACTTAGACTCAGAATGGGCTGGCTTGGGTGTCAAAGACGTAAGACTCAAATATGAGTTGGTTTGGGAAATAGCAGAGGCAAGATGGAGGAGCCTCCTTTGGCCCTTTAAATAATTTGTGATCCATTCCTCATCCTATTGCTAATGAGGCTAGAGAGAATATAAGGCCCTAAATTCGTGTAGGAAACAAAGTCCATTTTCTGGCTGACACTTTCAGTACAAAGCAAGCAAACAAGGCACAGCCTTGTAACGGTGAGGGGTTGGGTCTGGGGCTAAGAAGTTCAAAGTCACACGTGACACTAAGAGCCCATCTGATGTTCTCACTTATGCTGAAAATCTGTGCACCAAATATAGTCACACATAGTTGAGAATTTAAGGTAGTGGTTGTCAAAACTTGGTCCCTGGGCCAACAAGATCAGCATCAGCTAAGAAATTGATGGAAATATAAATTCTCAGGGGGTGAATCCCAGCCATCAGTGTTTTAACAAAGAAATCCTGATTCATAATGAAGTGTTGCAACCATTGACTTAAGGTATACATTTTTATATCATTACAAATAGGTCTAGTGATACAAGAAACAGCAACAGATTTATGATTGTATCAATTCACCTATTTGGAACTTAACTGTTCATTACCATTTTTTGAGTGTCAGGCACTTTGACAGCTCTCTATTTCATCTTTAAAACAATCCTGTTGGATATTCTTATCCTCATTTTTAAAGATAAGGAAATAGAGGTTCAGAGGTGTTAGGTGACTTGTCCAACATCATGCAGCAAACATGTGTCTTGGCATTTGATCCACATTTCTGGAAACATGCTCTCAAAGTGTCCAATCCCAAGGAACTGCTTCATGGTCAAACCAAAAGACAGATACACAAGCAAAAATTGGAAAACCCTACTATGTATTTATTTTCATGGTGATGAAATTAACCTTTTCAGCATGCAAAGAGTTAACAAGCTGA